CTGGGGTCCTCTGGAAGAGCAGCAAGTGCTTTTAACCATTGGGCCATCTCTTCAGCCTTTAGATGATAATTCCTTTGAACCAACCTTTAATTGAACATAACACCGTCATGTTTGATCACAACAATTCTCTTTACTATGACATAAGTACATATAGAAAGCATGAGTAAAGGCTTAAGAGGACAACATAGAATTGTGGTATCAAATAAATTAAGAGGGGAAGAAACAAGGCATAACCTAAACTTTTGAGTTAAAAGAAAACCAGCAAATATGGATGGTAAAATCAGTATTTACCTCTAAATACAACTGAATAATGTATACAAAGATGTATATATGTGTGTATATATGAATATGAACACATATGTGCATGTATATAGAATCATAGAAACAGATGGCGTGATGTGAGTTGGAGTCACCCAGTACTTTATTAATGATGGTGACCTGAGCTTTCTGCAGTCTGCTGTGATGAAATCAAGCTTTGTTAGTACCTCAGAGGTACTCGATGCCACAGCAGCCCTCAAAATCTCCCTGAGGAAGATTCAGTGATTGGGAACTCATTGAGGCTACTTTTAGGCACCCTTAAAAATTTGGGACTGGGGCTGGAGAGATGGTCAGGCATTCAGGAAGCATGCTGCTCTTGTAGAGGGCCTACATTTCCAACATTCTTTTCAGGTGTCTCAGATCTGTCTGGAACTCCAGTTCCAGGGGATCTACGCTCTCTTCCTTCCTCTGAGAGAGACTCTATCAGAGGCATGTGCACAAACTCCACCCACAAACATAAAAATGATTAAAATTAATAAAACAAATCTTAGAAAAATTAACTTTGGTCAAAACATATAAAACACATAACTTAGAAACAAATTTGAATGTAGATCTTTACATATGTATAATTGTGTCAGAATCTATGTCATACACATATACATGCTAAATCTATGTATATGGAAGATAAAGTGAGTCACTATATTTTTAGAGATAGATTTTCTGTCATAGATATTTATTAAATAAAATTGTTTAGCATTTTAACTTTATTCTCTTAGTAGACCTTCTAATATCAATAATTTATTGATAATGAGGTAATATGATCTAATCACAGGTAAGAAAACAGAGTAGAAGGAAGCTGTACAAAAGTTCAAAGTACCATTGTCTTTCATGATTTTTGCCATTTACTACAACCTAAAAATGGGTAGCGCACTGTGAACCTGGGTGTTTACTCGGGGCTGATGCTGACTTCCCCTTGGCAGGACCACTATCCCATTTCTCCTTAGCTGATCCATTCACAGGCCACAGAGCCAGTCCTGAACCTGGGTGAAAATATGGTTCTTGGGGTTGATCTCAGGGCCTCACGAGGCCTGAAGCTGCAAGCCAAAGCATCCAGGGTCATAAAATCAGAATGATATTACGGCTGATTTTCAAAGACATTTTTCCTGTGCGAACCTCACTCTCCCAGGGACTCCACAGCAGAGAAGAGTGCTGGAAATGGGGATCACATGAAGGTTGATAGATAGAAATTCAAACACACAATACTTGCTTTTTCTAAATTTAAAATGTATAAAACATCAGCGGTACGGCCTTTACTTCATGGGCTGCTCGGGGGATTCGCATGTGTAGGTCATAAAAACATTTGAAGGGCTTTTAGTTATGGGTCATCTGCACCCTCTATCCCTTAATGGGGAGGGGGATTATTAATGACTCAGGCCAGACTAATTGTCCCTGAGGTCTCAGGATTAGTTCTGCCAGGACCATCTGGAGCAGCCACCCTGACACTCACCCTAGGGACTTCTTGCTTCGGAGACCCCGTAGGCTTGCAGCCCTCGCCTTGGCCTTGGGCTTCAGGGCTGTCCACCTCTTCACTCCATGTGACATGAATCACACTGGCCAGGACTAAGATCGTCCTGCCTCAGAACAGGACTACGGCATCCATGCTGGGGAAGAGTGGGCAGGAAAATGACTTGAAGAGTTTATGTTTTAGAATGCCCTTCTTTCTTTCCCCAATTGCAGAAGACCCTGTGTGGCTATGACTGTGACCGTGAGGCATTATTTGCTCCCATGATGAAGGTGGAACTGTGCTCTCAAGGCTCCTACTGTTATATTCCCCAAGTAGCCAACGGGGTGCTGCCCCTGAATAGCATTACCTCCCCTTTCCTCCATCCCAGTACTACCACTGTTCCTCGTCTGCAGCTTGTGATTGTAGAGAGAGGCCAATATTATCGATAAAGGCAGATGATTCACCTAAACTGTATTTGAATCTGATTTAGACCAGAGGAAGGTGAGGAATAGCATAATGCCTCAGCAAATGACAATAGCATGGTTCAGGTTGTGAGAAAGATCAATGGATGGTAGCCTGCCTTGCTCAGCCAACAAGCAGGTTTGCATCCAGCTTCCCTGCGTGAGACCAAATCAAGCTAGTGAAAACGCCACAGCATAGAAACCTTATGGGAGGAGCTGTCCTTGCTGCTTTTCTAATATGAAGTAATGACGCCATGTTCCAAATATCGGTGAGATTCTGAAATTGGTAAATAAGGAGGAGAAATGGAAGAGTTTGGTGGGGGTGGAGATGATTGTTACATAGATAATATGGGACATTCATATTGTGGTTGTTAAGGAGAAACTGAGCTACTAAGTAGGCAATAGGATGCTGTCTTTTGCGTTAGACATGGAGAAGCACCTGCTACATGAATTATGCGGGCTGCAATTTTGTTTCATCACAAATAAAGCTGTCAGAGCTGGGAACCGTATTTCTCAGGAAAAGGTGTGTGTGTGTGTGTGTGTGTGTGTGTGTGTGTATGTGTGTGTTTAGCACCCCTCCACTAATAGAGAGGAAACAAGAAGTTGTGGAGAGTCTTGATTTGGGGGTAAAATAGACATCCAAGATATCTCTGTGATGTCTACAGCACAGCTTGCATTTGGTGACAAATGGGCAGGGTCTTGTGTTTTGTTTTGTTTTGTTTTAATCTATTTCTGTTCTATCTGACCCCTGATTAACTGATGGTGCATGGTTAAGAAAGACTTTATGGTTTAAAGAAACTGTCAGGAAAAAGAAAAAAGAAAGAACGAAAAGAAAAAAGAAAGGAAAGCTCATCTCTTCAGGGTGAGAGGCAGGGACAAAATACCCTGCCTGTAACACGAATTTATTAGCAGTCTTTTGCTGATTTCCAGTAAAATACTCTTCGTGTAACCTTGACTTTATTACGGAGTCCTTAAGGTGCATTTGGAAGATAGATAATGAGTTTGGGGAATAGCCTTATCTACATCAAGCTAATCTTTCACAGCTTGGAAAGGAGTCCGCAGAAAGTTCTCCAAATTGAGTGAGTGACAGACGCATGTTAAAGATGAAACCATTGAGGACGTCCTTTTACTGTGAAGTCTGTATGGTACAGGGTACCATTTTTATAAGCATGCTTGGCGGAGCAGGGAGAGCATAAAACAAATACAACACATAGAAAGCCACGGAGCGTTAATACTATTCTTGAGGGTCACATGAATTGCTAGTTGAGAGAAGAAAGAATTCTACTGTCCGAAGCTTCTGAGTGGCACTTTCTATCTGGGTTAATGAAAGCAAGTCAGACGTACCCAGGGGGAAAAAAGTGTTTCATTCACATTGGCTGTCTCCTTTAAAAGGAGGGACAATCCGAAGTGGGGGATTTTGAGTGGCATGTCATTGTCGAGACTGCACATGCCACATTGTCAGGGCTTCTATGGAGAGAAATGGCCGGGACCCTTTCTGACCCTTCGCAAGTGCGGGACTCTGTGTGTCTGTGTGGGTGTGCGACAGAAGGCTGGAAGCCGAAAGAAAGGGGGGATGAAAAGGAAACTAATTGAGAAGTATCTTTCTAACGAGACAGCTCATATGCCCATGTGCAGATTCCCAAGTTCAGATCTCCCAGTTAGTGGAGACACAAGCGCCCTGCTTTAGCATAAGACTGGACATGCGCAGAGATGACAGTTTCCCTCCGTTTCCATGCCAGTGACATCAGTTTCTCAAACTGAGCTGCTTCTGCATTAAAACCCTTAAACACTTACATTTGATAGTCTTCTTGTTTCTAATAACCATGTTTTACTATTTTTTGTTTGTTTTTACTGAATGTTTTTTTTTTTGTTTGTTGATTCGTTTATTTTCTTTCCTCTCTTCCCTTTGGACCCCTTCTTTCTTCTCCAGAGTTCACAGAAACAAAAACAAACAAACAAGCAAAAAACTGAACTCACCTAAATAAAATTTAATCAGCATAGAGGCTATGGCTGATTTTCAAATTATGGAATTTGCACAGATTTATTTATTCGGAGCAAACACTTTTAAAGTCTTCCTAAAATATACCCAGTTAACTCCGCCCTTTTTGACATTCGTAACTCTGGAGAAAAAAAACATTTCTTTATCTGAATAAGGACTAAATAGACTTTGGCACAGGGTGGAAGAGGTCATCACAGGTCAGGCCTCATTGGAGAAGATGGCAAGGGGCTGAGCACAAAGCCAGCAGCCACTCACTCCTGAGAAATTTCCATGGTGGGTGAGAAAGCCAGGATTTGGGATTTGAATGAGCTTTTCTCTCCCACTTTAAGAAGCAAGTGATAATTCATCAGGCAAACACACCTTTCTTTGCTGTTGTCAATAGAAAACTTGTTTTGCTAATGGCTATCTCTCTGCAAGTCCTTGACCTGCTTGTAAACACATTTCTGCAGGAAACCCTGGGCCTTGGCCTCAGGACTTTGCGTCAACAACAAGAGATAAAGTGACCACAACTTAACCTGTTCTGGCCTGGAGTGCCCTCTGCTGCCCCTTGGCCAAGCGAGGTCCTAATCTCTCTGCTAAGGGGACACATGGCTGGGAGGGCTGGCCATGACCCTGCCTGACCCCTGCTGCTGTCTGAGTCTTGATTTTTTTTTTTTAAGTTTATCTAGCCTTGCCAGAGAGGCATTTCCAACTCGCTATCCATTAACAGAAAAGGGAAGGGGTGGCTCTTTGGGCAGATAAAATATAGATCTGCAGGTCTGTCATTCGAAGGGAAACGGACTAAAGTGAATGCAGAAGAGGCTGGAATTTTCTGGACAGGTTTGTAGGCATCCCATTTCTTTCCACCCTTTGAGTCATTTGTATTGAAATGAAGAGAGTATGTAGATGCATAAAACATTAAAGTCACCGAAGGCTTTTCAGGTGAGTTGGTTTATGTTCAGGTTTTGTTAAATGAAGATATCTTTTAAAAAAAAAAGTATAAAATTCACAAACCGTGTTTGAGATAAGTTTATTTATCTTCAGCTACATTCTGGTCATCAATCTATCTAACTCCATGTCCACTCTCAGTTTTAACTTCTATCTCTTAATCCTCCCTCCCTCCCGCCCACCCGCCCACCCGCCCTCCCTCCTTCCCTCTTCCTCCCTTCCTTGTTTTCTTTCTTCCCTTCTTCCCTCTTTCCTCTTTAAAGTTAGCTGTGCAAAGTAATTTTTCCATCTTGTGTTGATTCTAGGGCATTTGGCTTCTGTTGGGAATCCTCTTAGAAGCTTCTATGGTCAAGTTAGAAATACAGTCTTTAAATGCCAGAATTTCACACTTGTAGCTCAGACTTCCAGTCAGATGATTTATACCTAATTTCCATGAGGTAAGCATGAACAGAAGTGGCTTAAAGCAAATTCTCAGTGGCATTAATGCAGAAAGTCCGGTAAAACAGCAGGATGCCCCTCCTTGAGGTTCTGCACTCACCAGTAAAGATGTCACAACCACTGCTTAGCAAGAACTGGGGAGTTCCCCTCCTCCTAGCTAATCCCTTTCTCCTAAAAGGCCCCAAAACCTGCTTGCTTTTACCTCCTAGGCTCATTTTAATTATGAGGCAGTATCCCATGGTTGTCGTTCCTCAGCACATTTATTTCTTTCACTTTGGTCCACTCTTCAATAGTTGCCAGCCGAGGTTTCCATCGCTGAAGAGCTATCCAGACTATGTTTATGTAGATTACTGTTGGCCAAGATGTATACGATTTTATTGTCTTTACATGTAAACTTCTTAATGATGTCTATTTAGTCTCCACTAAAGATAGGAACAGGGTTCTTTTTTTGTTTTGTTTTTCTGTCCTGGAACTAGCTCTTGTAGAACAGGCTGGCCTCTAACTCACAGAGATTCAATTCACCTGCCTCTGCCTCTTTAGTACTGGGATTAAAGGCATGCGCCACCACCGCCACCACCGCCCAGCTGAAAACAGGATTCTTGAAGCAAATGTCAGTTTGTGTAGCTGGACTTGTGAGCTCTTTCTGGATATTTGACCTTTCATTCCACATTGCTGAATTTCTATTTGTAATAAAAAAATACTTATTCTAGCACTCCCATGTACCAGGGGAAAGGAAAAATGTTAATTAATTAAGAAATTAATGCCTAACAGTTGCTACTACTTCTTTATTTTTAAAAATTTTTTTGTTATGTTTTTTGTTTTGAGACAGCATATCTTTCTATGGAGTCCTGCTGTTCAGGAACACAGTAAGTAGATGAGGCTGACCTTGAACTCACAGAGATCCTCCTGCCTCTGCTTCCTAAATTCTGAGCTGAAAAGCATACACCACCAAGTCTGGCTATACTTCTAAGGCATAGTTTTTTGTGAACATATCATTCAGATAGGCAGGTATATCTTCTTAACATTTCAGAAACATATTTTTTTTATATTCTGCTATCTTTCTATTAAGAAATAAAGTATGTCTTACATTTGTTTATTCAAAAGTCACCTTTCTTTTTTCCTTCTGGATTTACTATATTTCTCATATTTTTAAAATTTCTTCAGCAAGTATCTTTAAAAATCTGTTATTCAGATAGATGTCTTTAGGTAGTTTTTAGCAACAAAGCAAAACAAAACAAAGCAAAAAGAAAACCAAAGGAGGAAGGTTCTAGAATTGTCTGAATAGATATAATCTCATACTGCACTCACATACTGAGCTGGGTTTCAGGCACTTGTGACAGGCAGCGCCCAACCACCCATAACTACAGCTTCAAGGGATTCAACATTCTCTTCCGGCTTCTGTGGCCCCAGTCTCATGTACATAAATTATCACACATAAACACACACACACACACACACACACACACACACACAGAGAGAGAGAGAGAGAGAGAGAGAGAGAGAGAGAGAGAGAGAGAGTAAGTGAACCTGTCTGGACAACATTAGTCATCTAAAATTGACGCCCAATGGTTGGGGAATAATTCCACTGTCTTCAGACCTTCTACTTCAAAAGAAAACCTAACTTCATGATTTTCGTGGGGTTGAGGCTTATTTGAACTCCCCACATTCTGGAGATCATTACTTGACTGATCTAACAATTTTTGAGAGTTTATGTCTAGTTAAGTATTAGTCAGTCCCAGCTTTGTGTGAGTTGACTCACAGAGCGCCGCAGTTATGTGGAGATCCGCCGTGGCCTTGATGAGTATTAGTGAGTCTTACAAACAGCTCTTGGGTACTGCTTTCACTCTTGGAGATACTGTGAACAGGACTAGCCCTTTCCCAGGGACTCACTTCTCACCAGTCTGAAGGATGGCCCGTGTTGCTCTCCACCTGTGTTGTGGGATGATGTCCTAGTGTGTTAAGTACACCCCATGAAAATTTGTTTAACCCTAACCTCATAGACAGTAGACATCTGTTTGTAAGAAATACTGTTTGCTGAGAACTGAGAAGTGAGATGTAGGAACTCTCTCTATCTTCACATTTGGGGAAGTGTTCAGTTATAAGGAAGAAAGAGGGTATGGGTGCAACGGAGAAAGAGAACGTGTGAGAAACACTCATAAAACTCAAGCCAGACACTTTATGTTCTTTCTGCTGCTGGAGACTGGAAAAATCACAAATCAAGATAAACTTGCTGCTTTTGTAGGTCCCTTAGAGCATCAGCGGAATTTCCTTCCTGTTCCATGGTCCTTTTATCTTTTTGGTGGGGCTAGAGTCTCAGCTTAGGCAAGCAAATGTTTAGTTAGTACCACTGAGTCTCTGTTCTCTAAGATTTCTCTCTTTGGTAAATTAACAGACGCTTACTTAGCTTTCTCTCATGATTTCAACCAGTTGCCATCCACGCCTCAATAAAGGCAATAGCCACCTCTAGAAGTTCCCATGGCCTTGGACCACATCACAGAGAGAGGGCCCCTGAGAATAAGCATGAAGTTGTACATTGCCATTTTCTGTGTTCACTGTGCGAATGCTAATAACATCTGTTAAAAAAAAAATGTAGTGTTTGAAGAAATCAACTTCCTCCTGAATTTGAGTTTTAAGGCACCATTTAAATCCTCTTTTGTAAAGATTCTTCTTTTTCTTCATCTGAAATATCACTAGCCCATATTTGGCCTCTTCTTTTCTCCCCCTAAACCTTCTGCTTCAAGTCACCAACAGCCACATCCTCATCAGAGAGCTTTCTCTCACCAAAGTCATTTCAAGGCTAGCATGGTGTCCAACTGATTTCTCTCTCCATCTTTGTGGATCAAGGTAGAGAGATTACTTCATTTCTCTCTTGACTCTCTCCTCTGATTTCTTCTGCCACATTCCAGGAATAGCTAGGGATGCGTTTTCCATAGTCTTGAATGAGCCACACCAGGGACAGTATCAAGAGAGTGGAACCTGCCCCCTAGGAACCTGGCCATCTTGTCGGTTGTGTGTGAAGCACTCACATTATAGAAAATTCATACTCTCTAAAAGGTAATGCAGGAGCAGCCAGGATGAAGTGAGCACTGCAGAGGGCTTCAGTGAAGTTACTTGATGGGAAATATGGTCTCTCTCCAGTGACCGGACTCTGCTCATCCCAAGGTCCCAGACACAGGGCATGTGCCTAAGGTCTAAGTCTCAGGTTTTCAACAATCTTCTTCAGGATTACTCTCTACCGATAGCTTGGCAACATCAGCATCATGAAGACTAGGCACTTGCATTGAATCTTGTCGTTCTTCCTGTAATGCCCACTGTCAAGAACCTTCCTGTTTGCTTCTGTAGCCTAGTTATGGTTTTAAGTCGGGTGTGAAGGGTTGTTCCGTATGTGGGTGTTCATAACTCACGTACTTCATGATGCATGGAATCTGCAAACTGGGATATTTAGAGCATCTGTCTCACATGCATTAACATAATCTGTGCTTTTATTTTGGCTTATAAATCAATTCAAAAATTAATTTATATCTAGGAAGCAAATGAATAACTTAAAAAATATTATATGTTATATTATGCATTTATTAAATCATGAACCCTATTGGGATCTTGCATGTTTTCCTAATTTTTATTATTGCCCATCATTCCAAACAAATGAGATTTTATATGGTGCTTATGGTTGCCTTGCATAATTTTTCATGGTAACGTTTCTTCTCCCTGTCCCGTGCCCTCAAAATGCTCATTAATAATATCTAACAATGATTTCTGAACCTGTTTCTCATTTCCCTGTCTTTAATTCAGAGCTTGTGGTGATTCAAAATTTTTTTAATTTTTCAATTTAATATTTTTTTTCTTATTTCTTTTCTTTTCTTTTTTTTTTTTTTGGTTTTTTTGAGACAGTGTTTCTCTGTGGCTTTGGAGCCTGTCCTGGAACTAGCTCTTGTAGACCAGGCTGGTCTCAAACTCACAGAGATCCGCCTGCCTCTGCCTCCTGAGTGCTGGAATTAAAGGCATGTGCCACCACCACCCGGCCAGTTTAATATTTTTTACCAGATTCCATGGTAAATAATGTATTTGATTTTCTTGCATCCTGGGTCTCTGGGTTACTGGAAAACTTATAAAATTATATACACATATTTTATGTATAATTTTAAAAAAATGTATTGCCATTCTATAATGTTTATATGTAGGTTGTATATTATATATGTACTTGTTTTAATTTTTATATATGATGTGTGCAATGCCACTAGGCGTGTTTGCTCACTTTAGCCTTCTTAACCATGAGAATCTTGGAGCAAATCTCCGAAGACCCCAGACCACTACAATAGAAAAATTAAAGAACATATATTATAGAGTCACTGAAACTAAAGTCTCAACACTTTGATAAAGTCACAAGAACAGACTGTCCTGATGTGGGATTCCCCTCTAAATGCTGTGAATACCATAGTTGAATAAAGGAACTGCCTTGCCCTGCTGATAGGGCAGAACTTAGGTAGATGGGAAAAACTAAACTGAATACTGGGAGAAAGGGGGCAGAGTCAAGGAGAAGCCATGTAGCCCCGCCAGAGACAGATGCCAGAACCCAGTAAGCCACTGCCACGTGGCAGTACACAGATTAATGGAGGTGGGTTAAATTAACTTGTAAGAATTAATCAATAAGAAGCTAGAGCTAAGAGGCCAAGCAGTGATTTAAATAATATAGTTTCTGTGTGATTATTTCAGGTCTGAGCTGCCAGGAAACGAACAAGCAGCCTCCAGGTCTGAGCTGCTGAGCATCCAGAATGACCCAAGTGGCTACCTTCCAACCCTTTCCATTACAGACTAATATCAAATATAATCTCTATACTCAGCTGTTTCCTTCAATCTTCAAAATGACAGATATGTATGCAAAAGATGCAGACTAGAAACAGTTTTAAGATGACTATATGAGCTGGGTACTGTTGGGTTTTCTTTCTCACCCCTCTATACATACATTGTTTAATATATTTATATAAATATATGCCATCATGTTTTTATGAAAGACAACTCATAGTCATTACAGTGAAGTTATGTCATAAGTTAATAAACCGAGAGGAGCAAACATATCATTATCTCTTCATCTGTGGGGTTCTGTGGTCTTATCATGATTCATGATTAAACATGATGACTTGTATGAACATAAAATTTTTTTTTCGGGAAGGATTATATGACAGACAGTTATTTTGTGATTGGTCCCAGGAAAAAGGGATGAGAGGTCATACAAAAGCTTGCAGGCGTACATTTGGCCCAATTAACACAAAAGGAAATAGACCTTGGAAATTGTGATGAGTCCATGATTTTATTTTTCCTTTGAATAAAATGATCAACTTTGTCCTTGAGTTCCGGGAAGCCTCACAGTCAACATAGTCCTCCTCTTAAGCTCCTTAGAGGCACGGGGACTGAGGAAAGCACTGTAGATTCGTTCACATTAGATACAGATGCTAATGGGCAATAGACATTCGCCTATGACTAAAACACACACCTTGGTCAAGTTCCTTTTACTGAGTTTGTTTATTTATTTATCGCATGATATTGTGATTCTCTTGTTATAAAGTCCTGATGAGGCAGAGAAGCTTCTAGACTCCCGGGGAGAGTGAAGCTGAATTCAGAGTACTTCTTAAGTGATGGCTCTATGTGAAATGCTGGAAGTGGGAACAGTACTACTTTGGTTAAAACGAGTAAAAAAGTAAAAAAAAAAAAAAAAAAAAAAAGTAAAATAGGATTAAAACGTCTGCTTAAATGTGTGTTTATGTATCAAAATAAGTTAAACCAACTTCATCGCTTATTTCTGTAAAGAAATTGTGTTAGTGATCAAAAAAAAAATAGTTCACCACAGTGTCCCTACTGTGCAAAGTCTCATGTGTGTTTTTAAACTGATTCAAAAATCTACTTAGAAGATAAGCAAATAAAGAAAAGCAGAATCTGGCGGTAACTCCTTGTCATTGGCTCACTCTCTGTTACTATTTGTGTACTGCTTTTTCAGGCTGTGGATCCGGTTTGTGCAGTTCAGGGAAAGGGTTTGACTTAGCAGTGTTCACCTTGAAGGGAGGCACATTCTGCGCATGATCTAAAGATGGCACATGAATTACCTCTCCCTCTGCCATCCGCCTACAAGAAAGGAATAATGTGTAATGGAGCCAGGGTGAGGACGAGAAGGGGAAGGGCAGGGATGCAGAGGCAGCAGGTTTGGGGAGAGGATATCGCCTGTGCTATGGCTATTAGCATTGGCAACTCACAGACCCTGACTCTCTCTTCCTGAGATGGACCTTAACCACATCTTCCCTGAAGCAAGTGTCACACCACTATTGCATTTTAGGAGGGAAACTTCCTTAAATTATTAGCTTAAAAAAATGAAACCCGAACACACGTGGAAGCTTAGTTGCTTATTAGAAACACCTTGTCAGGGGAGAACTTGTTAATATCATTGATGAGGTCTTCTGGCTCCTTAAGCCTGTTTTCCTCAGTTCGTCCTCCATATGAATTCTCTTCGTTATTCACTTGAGTTAATATTTGGAAGGATTGACAAGCTCATCCATCTGAAGCAAATCTAAAGCTCAGTTGTTTGCTACATTTTTTTTTTTCGAGAAGGGTTTTCTTTGTGTAACAGTCCTAGCTGTCCTGGAACTAGCATCGAACTTACAAAGATCTGCCTGCCTCTGCCACCCAAATGCTGGTATTAAAGGTGTGCGCTGCCACCACCTGGCCTACTTGTTAAATTTTTAACTCAATGGACACTTCTAGGTGCAGAAATTCATGTGCAGTTACAAGACTTGGTCAATGTATGGTGAGAACATGCTTCACTCTAACCAATGTGTTAAGAGTTGAGGGTACAAAGAGATAAATCCAAGTACTGACCTCAGAAACCTTGATGACCAAGGCTACGGGCTACAGCTCAAGCCAGTATTAAGGCAGATGTCGGAGGTGGAAAGGGGAAGCTCAGGGAAGTTGTGGGAAGGCATTTGTTGGGATTATCTGACTGGAAAGGCCTCTAGGAAGCTCACCCTTGAGTACTGTGCTTATGAGGAGTCAGTCCAAACTTGGCTACAGCAAATCAGTGCTATGTAGGAACTCTGAGCAGTTGCAGCAGGCACTTGGAGGTTTTAAGAAAGCGGTAAACCTATGCCTTGGGAAAGACTACAAACTATTTCAAGCTGACTCAACTTGTTTCCATTAGATATGTCTTGTCCCCGATGATCTAGAGCTTCTTGATAGTTTCACTTTAATCCCGTTACATCATTGCCAGCTGTTAACTAGGAACTTTATCAAGTCAGTACAAAATAGATTTATTCCCCATCAACAGTAGCTTTGCAAAAAATGATTCTTAGTCATACTTGAGAGGAAAGGTTATCTCTTGTATGTTAGTCAGAATAGATTGAGGTGAGCTGCAGTAAGAGCAGAGCCAATAACTTCAATGCTACAGCCTTTTCCGCACATCCATTAAATGTTCATTTTTGATCTGTGATGTACTCCAAACTCTTTCCTTTGGCATCGGGACAGTGCATTAGTCCCTCTCTGGGACCCTGCTGGCCATAAGGACTAGAAAAGACCAGGACCTCACAGTTCTGACAACATCTGCTTTGAACTGACCTTAACGCAAAAGCCTATTTCATTAGGCAAAGCAATCCATTTAGCCCTGGGCTGGAGAAGTGCGATTCTTAACCCTAGAGATGGGAAGAAACAGTCTTTCATGACTAACAACGTTTCTGAAAATGAATTTTCATCTACTTTAGTGTACTAGGATGTAGACCATTTGTGGGCAGTGGCTACCTCACTATCTGAAAAAAAAGCATTTAGTGGCCTGAAAATGTGTATTCTTTATTTGGGTAAACCACTAGTTGTGGTCTTTTAGGGTAAAAAAAAAAATAAGAGCAAAGAAGTCACTTTGGTTTTAGGAAGAAACCATGAAAGTCTCCAAAATGGGACAGCAATTAGTATAAAGACAGCGGCTAAATGTACCATTTAGTAAGAGGGACATCTTTAATTTGATTAAAGTTGGGAAAATGATCCAGAAGAATATCCTTCACATGGAATTTCATAAAAACTCAACAGCCTAAATTACAGGTCAACAAGCTAAACTCTTGCAGCAAAACCTAGGCCGGTTTTGTTAATGATGTTTTTGGGATGCAGCCAGGACCACAAGCTTATAGACTACCCACAGCTACTTTTATACCACAACGGCACAGTGAATCATTGCAATAGCGCTATCTACGAAGTGTTGATTATCTGAACTTTCGGGGAAATGTTTGTTAGCCCATCCTAGAGGTTAAATCACATTATGATTATTTGAGTCAACCAATCTATTCATTCATTAAAGAAATATGTTTATAGTTGGCATTATGGGTCTAATTCTGTTCATACTGCTGACGTACAAAAAGAGAGAAATGGAGTCGTTCCCTAATGCAAATTATAGCCTAGTGGAGAAAACAGACATTAAACAAATTATCCCTTAAATAAATCTAAAATTTTATACTAAGGAATGGGAGGCAAAGAGTAAGGGCTGACGACGACACAGTATGAAGAAAATTAATTTAGATTGTGAGAAAAGCTTGCATCTCCTTTGAATGTGTGTTTCTACAGCTGAGATTTAAAAATCTGAGCAAATTAAATGATGGGACCGGCAAATGTGACGTTCCTGAGGGAAATAAAGGATGGATGCTATTTACAAGGGAATGAAACACACTCAGAGGCCCTATTTTGGCATGTTATGGTATGTAGTAGGAGGGCCACTCAGATAAAGAAAACTGAGTGGGGGTAGCACGTGATTGATTAGGAGATAATGTAAATGAGACTTGTTAATAGAGAAGAAAGAGGTTAGGAAAGGGGCCTCTGTATTTTCAACTTCCCCTTTTGATCAAGGACCTAAGAACATGGAAAGAACTGAGTTTAGAAAACGAGTTTGTACAAAGGCTTCCATTCATTTTAGGACATTGCAACTATCTTAAGATATGTTTGAAGGCTTAGCTCTCAGAGTGGAGATTATACTTCGTGTAACTGACACAGGTGATATTTATATTCAAAGAAAACATACAGTATAAAGCAACGGATCTTGGGGTAGAGATGGAGGATCTTCGGACACTCAACAGGTGCCTAGAAGGAGACAAGAGAGTCCATGAGAAACCAGAATGCAGTTTTATCCAGGGAAGAGGGTATTTGGAGAAGGAAGTTGCTTCTAGATGTGTCAAGAGAACCATTGGAATGAAGAAAGTCAGTCTCTCTAGATCTATGCTCTGATGGCAAATGACAACAGTGGTCACCAGTAGGCTTCAGTGGTACCTCTAGAGTTAGTCTCTGCAGAGGGAACCGGTTATATTAAACAGTGACAGTGTTCTCTGTGGAGTATACTAATACCCTCTTGTTTGAGTCCAGCCCGGAGTATGTCTCTGGGAATACTTACAGAAAATTTTGTTTGTTTGTAGAGAGTCATGGTAAGACTAGAGGTTCATGGGAAGAGACTCACCTTTACAGCAATTCAAACACATAATTTCCATTGCCATTTAATTTTGCTCTTCGTAGACATTTTATGCAACAATAATGTCTTCACTTAGGAATAATGAACAAATAAAAATGTCTTGCAGGGCTGCTGAGATGGTGGAGGTAAAAGTCCTTGTCAGGAATGCCTGACAACCTGAGTTTAATTCCCAAAACTCAGGGTAGAGGGAAAGAATGGCCTTCTGGGAGTCATCTTCTAACCTCTACACACACAGTAGAACATGTGCACCAACACTTAAATAGGAGCATCACATTTGCATGTGTGCGCACACACAGACAAACATGCACACATATATACATGTGCACACACAGACATACTTACAACACTAGTAGATAAAATAAACAACGTAAATAAAGTTTCTTACATACACAAGAGGCAGTTGGAGCAGGCCCAGGAACTCGACATCATCCTTAAGTGAAATTAATTCATCTAAGATGAGAAATAAATTCATATGGATTCATAATCAGTAATGACTCAGACAAAGTTGAATAATTCTTTAGGACCTCCAAATCTTGGATGCTTGCAAAATTTTACCTAGATTAAGTTCAAGGATAACTTAAACTAACACTGGGAACT